TGATTGTTCGACATGATGGTCGGTGTTTGTTCGACATGATGGTCGGTGTTTGTTCGACATGATGGTCGGTGTTTGTTCCACAAGATGATAAGTGATTGTTCGACATGATGGTCGGTGTTTGTTCGACATAATGATCGGTGTTTGTTCGACATGATGGTCGGTGTTTGTTCGACATGATGATCGGTGTTTGTTCGACATGATGGTCGGTGTTTGCTCGACATGATCATCGATGTTTGTTCGACATGATGATCGGTGTTTGTTCGACATGATGGTCGGTGTTTGTTCGACATAATGATCGGTGTTTGTTCGACATGATGATCGATGCTTGTTCGACATGATGGTCGGTGTTTGTTCCAGAAGATAAGTGATTGTTCGACATGATGGTCGGTGTTTGTTCGACATAATGATCGGTGTTTGTTCGACATGATGGTCGGTCTTTGTTCGACATGATGATCGGTGTTTGTTCGACATAATGATCGGTGTTTGTTCGACATGATGGTCGGTATTTGTTCGATATGATGGTCGGTGTTTGTTCGACATGATGGTCGGTGTTTGTTCGACATGATGGCCGGTGTTTGTTCGACATAATGATCGGTGTTTATTCGACATGATGATCGATGTTTGTTCGACATGATGGTCGGTGTTTGTTCCACAAGATGATAAGTATTTGTTCGACATGATGGTCGGTGTTTGTTCGACACAATGATCGGTGTTTGTTCGACATGATGGTCGGTGTTTGTTCGACATGATGATCGGTGTTTGTTCGACATGATGGTCGGTGTTTGCTCGACATGATGATCGGTGTTTGTTCGACATGATGGTCGGTGTTTGTTCCACAAGATGATAAGTGTTTGTTCGACATGATGATGAGTGTTTGTTCGACATGATGGTCGGTGTTTGTTCCACAAGATAATGTTTGTTCGACATGATGGTCGGTGTTTGTTCCACAAGATGATAAGTGATTGTTCGACATGATGGTCGGTGTTTGTTCGACATGATGATGAGTGTTTGTTCGACATGATGATGAGTGTTTGTTCGACATGAGTTCGACATGATGATCGGTGTTTGTTCGACATGATGATCGGTGTTTGTTCGACATGATGGTCGGTGTTTGTTCCACAAGATGATAAGTGTTTGTTCGACATGATGATGAGTGTTTGTTCGACATGATGGTCGGTGTTTGTTCCACAAGATGATAAGTGATTGTTCGACATGATGGTCGGTGTTTGTTCGACATGATGGTCGGTGTTTGTTCGACATGATGGTCGGTGTTTGTTTGATATGATGATCGGTGTTTGTTCGATATGATGATCGGTGTTTGTTCGACATGATGACCAGTGTTTGTTCGACATGATGGCCGGTGTTTGTTCGACATGATGATCGGTGTTTGTTCGACATGATGGTCGGTATTTGTTCGACATGATGGTCGGTGTTTGCTCGACATGATGATCGGTGTTTGTTCGACATGATGGTCGGTATTGGTTCGACCCGATGATCGGTGTTTGTTCGACATAATGATCGGTGTTTGTTCGATATGATGATCGGTGTTTGTTCGACATGATGAACGATGTTTGTTCGACATGATGGTCGCTGTTTGTTCGACATGATGAACGATGTTTGTTCGATATGATGATTGGTGTTTGTTCGACCCGATGATCGGTGTTTGTTCGACCCGATGATCGGTGTTTGTTCGACATAATGATCGGTGTTTGTTCGACATGATGGTCGCTGTTTGTTCGACATGATGAACGATGTTTGTTCGATATGATGATTGGTGTTTGTTCGACCCGATGATCGGTGTTTGTTCGACATGATGATCGGTGTTTGTTCGACATGATGGTCGCTGTTTGTTCGACATGATGATCGATGTTTGTTCGACAAGATGGTCGGCGTTTGTTCGACATAATGATCGGTGTTTGTTCGACATGATGACCGGTGTTTGTTCGACCAGATGGTCGGTGTTTGTTCGACCCGATGATCGGTGTTTGTTCGACATAATGATCGGTGTTTGTTCGACATGATGACCGGTGTTTGTTCGACCAGATGGTCGGTGTTTGTTCGACATAATGGTCGGTGTTAGTTTGACGTGATGATCGGTGCTTGTTCGACATAATGATCGGTGTTTGTTCGACATAGTGGTTGGTGGTTGTTAGACCAGTTAATTAGTATTAATTCGACCTATATTATCAATTTGTATGACGACATTATTTTTTTTTATTTGTTTGAACCATGGTGGTTTCTTAAACCTTCATGTACGTGTATCAGCGTTTGTTTTTCCTGATTATTGGTGTATATTCGATTTTGTCAGTGACCGTTTGATAATGCTTTTGATGTATATTTTTCCCCTATTCTCAGTGTGATTTTAATCTAGAATAAATATTTTCTCTAATAATAGTCACGAGAGTCACGTGATATTTCGATTTCGTTAGCTCTAAGCATTTCTGGTTAATGGAATCGATACTTTCGGAAGTAAGGGAATCTGAAGTGTCGATGCGTTATTCTTCTATGTTACTGCAACGGTATCCAAGACGATGGAAGTAAACAAAAGTGATATCATATATGTTATGTACTGAACTTGTTAATAACATTCCGTAAATGTGTACCCCGCTCCGGACACATAATTCGTTTAGTCACACCACGCGTAGTAATTTTCTTACCATGTTAACACGTGTTCTGATTAATTAAAGTAGTTCTGTAACCGCCATATTGATTGTTTGTTGACGTTCTTGGGCAGCTTGGGCTAATAATGCCACAACACAACACTGGCGACGAGGATATGGACTCAAACCTATGCAGACCACAGAAAACATTTTGTCTATAAATTCAGTGAACTGAATTTTGGTAAGACTGTTCATATTTAGGGTAAAACACCGTTAGAATCCGGGGCCGATCTACGCTATCCTAGTTCTGTGCGTCGATTCATGTAAAATCCAAATATGGCATGCAAAATTGGTCGCATTGACCCTTTTGACAATAGTGTCGAATCATGGGACTCGTATCAAGAAAGGCTTGAACAATACTTTATCTGTAATGAAGTGAAAGACGAAAAAGGTCCCCGTGTTGTTGACATTGGTTGGTGGGAAACTTATTCTCTGTCAAGGGGCCTCACAGCACCAACTAAACCTTCTGAGGAAAACTATGCTGATTTAGTCCGAATTCTCAAAAACCACCTTTGCCCTAAACCTCTCGTTATAGCTGAACGGTTTAGATTCCACAAGAGAGAACAAAAAGACGGGGAGACAATTCGTGAATATATAGCGTCCCTCAGAAAACTCAGTGAACATTGTGAGTTTGGTGCAAATTTGAACGATTCACTCCGTGACAGACTAGTATGTGGTCTACAGAATGAACAGATTCAAAAGAAACTGTTATCGGAAGCTGCCCTCACGTATAAAAATGCCGTTGACATTTCTGTTGCCATGGAAACCGCCGCACATGACGCTACTGAATTACAGGCTAAACACGGCAGTATAAACGTGAATAAAATTCAGAAGCAACCGAAAAAGTTTCACAAGCCACGTAAGCAAATTGGAAAGAAATGTTTCCGTTGTTTGGGACTTGGACATGATGCAAATGACTGTTATTACCGGGATAAAGAGTGTTATAACTGTCACGACAAAGGACATTCAAAATTGGGGTGCCAAAAGGAAAGCGGAATCGTAAAGTACATGCGCTGGATGAAGGCGATGATTCAGACGACGCTTTTATTGCTTCATTGGAGGTCGAAGTAAACTCCGTTCGAAAAACGGATGGCATCATAACCGTTTCACCGATTGTTAATGATATTATTATTGAATATGGAACTAGATACTGGAGCCGCTGTATCAGTTATTCCGGAGAAACTTTTCAAAGACAAATTTCCGAAAGTGAAATTAGTTCCCAGTGACTTGGTCTTGAAAACATGTTCTGGCGAGAAATTGAAACCTGTCGGAATGGCTATAGTGAACGTGAACTATAAAGGCCAGGTGAAGGACTTGAAACTCTACGTCGTGCGTGAAGGCCAGGTAACGCTAATGGGCAGGGATTGGCTTAAAAGCATAAATCTGGACTGGGCGGAAATAAAGTCCGTTATTGGAAAACCTCATGGCACGCTTAAATCCGTGTTGGATAAACATGCTAGCGTATTTCAAGGCGACCGGGGAAAGTTAACAGAAATGAAGGCGAAACTAAAGTTGAAACCGGATGCTACCCATAAATTTGTGAAAGCGCGACCGGTTCCGTACGCACTCAAGCCGAAGGTCGAAGCGGAATTAGATCGGCTTGTCAAAGATGGAATACTTGACAAATGTGAGCACAGTGATTGGGCAACCCCGATTGTCCCCGTAGTGAAGAAGGACGGGTCGGTGCGGTTGTGTGGTGACTTTAAAGTGACAGTTAACCCCGTGCTCGAAATCGGACATTTTTGTGGCACTGTCTGGAGGGAAACACTTCTCCAAAATCGACCTGAAACACGCCTATCTTCAGATGGAAGTTGAAGACGAAACGCGACCGCTATTGACGATTAATACTGAAAAGGGTTTATACCGTTTTAATCGCCTAGTTTATGGCATCGCGTCCGCTCCGGTGATATGGCAGAGGGCTATGGACACAATTCTTCAGGGACTACCCGGTGTGAAATGTATAAAAGATGATATGATCATCACGGGCAAAACGGAACAGGAACATTTGCATAATCTCGATTCCGTACTTGAACGTCTGGCACGCTATGGATTACGCGCGAATCTGGATAAATGTAAATTCTTCCAAAAGTGACATTCTGTGGCCATGAAATCGACGAACAAGGACTTCACAAGACGCAGAAAAAAATTGACGCCGTAATTAACTCGCCGAAACCTTCCAATGTCTCCGAACTGCGCTCGTTTTTAGGGCTCGTCAATTACTATGCTCGTTTCTTGCCGAACCTATCAACAGTACTGCACCCGTTATACCAGCTGTTGGAGAAAGTTCATACTTGGAAATGGACATCCGAGTGTAAAAACGCGTTTCAACAAGTCAAAGAAATGATCACGTCTGACGAGGTTCTTACGCACTACGACCCAAAACTACCGTTGTGTCTAGCTACAGATGCATCCCCTTATGGACTGGGGACAGTATTGTCACATATCATGCGCGATGGAACCGAGAGACCTGTCGCGTACGCTTCGCGTTCGTTATCTTCGGCAGAGAAAAACTATTCACAAATAGACAAGGAGGCACTGGATATTGTATGGGGCGTCAAACGTTTTATTAACACCTACCTGTTTGGCAGACATTTCAAGCTAATCACCGACCATCAACCTCTCATTTCTGTGTTTAGTCCGAAGAAAGGTATCTCGAACACGTCAGCTGCAAGGCTGCAAAGGCAAGCCCTTTTCCTTGCAGGCTACGACTACGAAATCGTGTACATAAACACCACGAAACATGGAAACGCCGACGGTTTGTCACGTTTACCGTTGCGCACGTGCAATGCCGAAAATTGTCAAGACGACAGTAAGGATGCCGTCGATATCCTTCAAATGACCCAGTTTGAAAAGGTGCCGATCAAGCTGGAGAAAATAAAACTCGAAACACATCGTGACCCCGTACTATCACGAGTATACGAAAACATGATGAAGGGATGGAACGACCAGTGTAGTCTTCAGGAATTAACCATGTATTTTACGCGCCGTTCCGAGATAACCATTCACCAGGAATATTTGTTATGGGGAATAAGGGTTATCATTCCAACATCACTGCGTCGTCGTGTTTTGGACGAGTTACATCAAGGGCACATTGGCGTCGTGAAAATCAAAGCGCTCGCTAGAAGCCATGTATGGTGGTCCGGAATTGACAAAGACATTGAAACATTAGTTAAGTCGTGTTCCGGATGTCATGATGTCAAACATGCACCACCAGCAGCACCCATTCACCCATGGGAATGGCCATCAAGGCCATGGGAACGAATTCACATCGACTTTGCCGGACCATTCATGAACTCTATGCTTTTCGTGATCGTGGACGCGTTCTCAAAGTGGCCGGAAATTATTCCGATGAAAACTACTACCGCTTCAAAAACCATTGACATACTACGCACCGTGTTCGCCCGATATGGACTCCCAAGACAAATCGTAAGCGACAATGGCCCGCAATTTGTGTCGGATGAATTCAAACGTTTTGTGAACCAGAATGGCATTAAACACACAACGTCTGCACCGTATCATCCCAGTACAAACGGTTTAGCCGAACGCTTCGTGCAGTCATTCAAGATGGCACTTCGATCCAGCAAAAAGGAGACTGGTACAATACAGCACAAACTCAGCAATTTTCTACTCGCGTACCGAAACGCGCCGCAAAGTACAACCAACGAAACTCCGGCAAAACTGTTCATCGGACGTAATCTCGTATCCCGTCTGGATCTGATGAAACCGGATACTAGGAGGACTGTCGAACAAAATCAGGCGAAAATGCGTGAACGCAGACATACAAATGTGCGACAATTTTCACCAGGAGATCATGTGTCAATTCGCGATTATCGCCGTGAACGAAATCCGTGGATTCCAGGAACTGTAATCGAACAGACCGGACCTGTCACGTACAAAGTGGCAACAAGCGCTGCACCTGGAGCAACATGGCGGGGACATACCGACCAAGTGCGATCGACCAACGTTCGTGAAACACCACAGGATATAAACTGTGACACTCCGTCAATTTCGTTATCCGCGCGCACATCTCCAACAATAGAAACTAACATGTCCAAATCGGTAGATACGCCAAAACCACCAGAACCGAGGTATCCAGGGCGCCAAACAAAACCGCCAAAACGTTTTGATGACTTTGTAACTGTATAGAAAACAAATCATATAAGTAAGGTTTGTGATAGCACTGTGCTTATGGGGCATAATAATCCCCTGTGCATCACATGGGACCAAGATTCCTCATTTCCAAATAATTGTTGTTATTTGAAAGGTTTAATTTTGCATTTCAGTCAATTCATAATGGTTGTAATAGATAATATAACTATATGATTCATTTTCTAGTCTTTAATAATTTTCTGGAATTTGTCAGTCAAAGGTGTGCTGACTAAATGACTTGGAGGGAGAGATGTTATGTACTGATGTACCCCGCTCCGGACACAATTCGTTTAGTCACACCACGCGTAGTAATTTTCTTACCATGTTAACACGTGTTCTGATTAATTAAAGTAGTTCTGTAACCGCCATATTGATTGTTTGTTGACGTTCTTTGGCAGCTTGGGCTAATAATACCACAACACAACAATATATATGACGTAACTATTCAAACTCCATAAATCGGAGGTTCATCTTGTCAAGAATCTGTTAGAATATACTAAAACAGTGTTTTGCATTGATTGCGTTTTCAATTGATTAAACTTAAACACGCGTTAAATAAAGACCGGAAGTACATTGCCCCCCCCCCCCCCCCCCCCCCCCCCCCCCCCCAAAAAAAAAAAAAAAAAAAATCCCAAGGTAGTACCTAATCATAGAACCGACTCCGGATATGCTAGCTCGGCCGCCTTTATATTTTACGCATTTTCAACCACGATTCACATAATAACATTCTAATCCCTAGAACTGTCGTTATATGCTATACTAATCGGGATTTTCCTTCTAATGATGATATTGTGTTTGAGTTCGCGTGGTTTTTTTTTTACTTAATATCGGGTATCTGTGCATCACCGTTTATACGGCCTGAGGATTGACGTCTGTATGACTTCATTTCCGGCGCCTGTTTGAAGTGTTTCAGCCTTTGCTTGATTCTGTTAATTTCTGGTTAAAATCCATATCCAGTGTCACTTTGTGAACAAACGTGACATTTTAATGATTTTTCTCTAACAGGTGCGTGCTCAATCTGCCAGCCACATTACTTCGGGAGACAAATGCACGAACTCCCTGTTGATTACAAATTGTCCATTAGCAAATAACTGAATGACCTGCATCGGTAAAATTCGGAGCTTGAAACAAACACAAATACAATTAATCATTCCGGTAGAGTAGTAAACAGATGTACAACTGATCATTCCGGTACAGTAGTTAACAGATGTACAACTGATCATCCGGTACAGTAGTAAACAGATGTACAACTGATCATTCCGGTACAGTAGTAAACAGATGTACAACTGATCATTCCGGTACAGTAGTAAACAGATGTACAACTGATCATTCCGGTACAGTAGTAAACAGATGTACAACTGATCATTCCGGTAGAGTAGTAAACAGATGTACAACTGATCATTCCGGTAGAGTAGTAAACAGATGTACAACTGATCATTCCAGTACAGTAGTAAACAGATGTACAACTGATCATTCCAGTACAGTAGTAAACAGATGTACAACTGATCATTCCGGTACAGTAGTAAACAGATGTACAACTGATCATTCCAGTACAGTAGTAAACAGATGTACAACTGATCATTCCGGTACAGTAGTAAACAGATGTACAACTGATCATTCCGGTACAGTAGTAAACAGATGTACAACTGTATCATTCCGGTACAGTAGTAAACACATCATTCCAGTACAGTGTAAACAGATGTACAACTGATCATTCCGGTACAGTAGTAAACAGATGTCCGGTACAGTAGTAAACAGATGTACAACTGATCATTCCAGTACAGTAGTAAACAGATGTACAACTGATCATTCCAGTACAGTAGTAAACAGATGTACAACTGATCATTCCAGTACAGTAGTAAACAGATGTACAACTGATCATTCCGGTACAGTAGTAAACAGATGTACAACTGATCATTCCGGTACAGTAGTAAACAGATGTACAACTGATCATTCCGGTAGAGTAGTAAACAGATGTACAACTGATCATTCCGGTAGAGTAGTAAACAGATGTACAACTGATCATTCCAGTACAGTAGTAAACAGATGTACAACTGATCATTCCAGTACAGTAGTAAACAGATGTACAACTGATCATTCCAGTACAGTAGTAAACAGATGTACAACTGATCATTCCAGTACAGTAGTAAACAGATGTACAACTGATCATTCCAGTACAGTAGTAAACAGATGTACAACTGATCATTCCGGTAGAGTAGTAAACAGATGTACAACTGATCATTCCAGTACAGTAGTAAACAGATGTACAACTGATCATTCCGGTACAGTAGTAAACAGATGTATAAACACAATGTGTTTTTGTCTACTTTCGTTTTTGTTGTAGAATGCCTGTTGGTTTTACTTCTTTAGAATATATACATGTTTTATATGAAGTTACACATTGTATTCCATGGTTTAAATTACGGTGGCTGGGAAAGGACATCGTAAGTTACATGATAATATTTTTTTATCTCGATCGATCGACTTATTAACTAGATCGATCGACTTAATTATCTCAATAGATCGACTTATTATCTCGATCGATCGACTTAATTATCTCGATCGATCGATAAAAAATTATTATCATGTAACTTACGATGTCCTTTCCCAGCCACCGTATTAAATGACATCTTAAACACAGTGAAAAAATTATGATTTTTTTTATTTAAAATTCATACCATAACACCTTGGAATCACACACACAATATGTGTTTTCCTAATATTTACGATAAGGCTTTGGGGAGCGAAGCTGAATGTAAGGCATTCTATGATTCGCCGCTTGTGTATCTGTTGTTTACCCCGTAATGATGATGAAAGCAGCGTAACATCTGGTCTGGATTATTAGAGCGCTTAAGTTAGCGAAGTTCTAATTTTTGTCAAGAAGAGTTGTCTTAGACACTATGTATACATAAAAAAGCCTTACATGGAAATCAAGAAAAAGAACACTTTCCATAAGTAAATACAGTACTAGCAAACACTAACAAACTAGTAAACTTCGAAATACCGCTAAACCTCATTATCATGAATTCTTGTGACTCGATCCTGTCAAAACCTCACACTAAATATCGAACTTAACTAAACCGTATACTCGGATAACTCAAAGTTTCCTATGGTTCCGCTGACTTCGAGATAATGAGGTTCGACTGTATATATGAATATATATGTAACCTGAATTCCAAAGAATGTGGATCTGTAAGAAAATATATGTAGGAAATATTCATCGATACGTATATAAAAAATATAAACATTTTTATGATTATCATTATAAACAATATCTTGGGAACATAACTTAAAAGAATATTTAATGTTTATGCCGATGCTGGTCGTATTGGTAACAGTAGTTATTACAGTCAGAAATCGATATCAAATAGATCATTGACGAACAAATTTTAATGATTCACATTGTTAATAACAACATGAAGGATTTCTGCAATGGACAGCTCAATCTACGGTTCAATTCAAATTTTCAGAACGAAATCTACATATATATTTATCAACTTGTACACATTTTGGTTAATTCACTAAAACCTCACTGAACAGTACAAAATATATGTAACAAATATGTACTTCTTTTGTAACTTTATATCATATTACATGCATTTTCAATTCTCAATTTACAATATTTGAAATAACAAAATTAAACCCATGTTTTACAACAGCACGTGATAAAAACTTCCATTTCAACTTGTTAATGAAATTTATGGTTTGAAATTTGATCATATTCAAGGAAAGCATTACGATTCTGCAGTTAATATTTCAACATTCTGAAAGCTTCCTACAAATTGTACATTTAAACAAAGGAACTATGTACATGTCAGTATATTTTCAAGTAAATTTTATATGAATGCAGCGGATATAATAGCTTCGGGTTTTGTTTTTATTTATTTGTTTATTTTTTATTTATTTAATAAATTTGCTGGTATATCACCTGTGACAGTCAGGGATATATTCTTCTTGTAGTTATTGATTACTGCCTAACTGAACAACATTTACAAGGCCCGTCGTATGTCATCGACTTTGAATTATAGTATCAAAGACACGTATGTGAATAGCACCATTGTATCTTAATCCGAAATCAAATACAGAAAATCGAACAATGTGTTAAAATGTTAGAATGTTACCGACGAAAATCACAACGAAAAAATCAATGTCATAATACAGATGGATGGTGAATTTAAAATCTGTGATTTAATAAAATGAAAATTATTCAGTACTGGATGAATAAATAACGAATAACTTTAAGATATATGCATACAGAGACATGTTCTGAAATGTGCCATTATTCAAATGAATTTAAAAGTAGAATGTTAAATTAGGTCCAACTGTAGGGACTAAATTCCGCCAGCTGAGTCTATCACCTGTAGAATAAGCTGCACAAAGTGAATTTTCGAGTAGGGATGGTTCGAATTCTTTTTTGCATTCACCAGTTAGGATGGTGATAGAGATAAAGATATGGTTTTGTATAAGTTCCGATGTTTAGTTTGAACGGTACGTGATCATTCAAATATAATTTTCTACAAGCGTAAGGCAATGCTGATGGTTTTAAAATGGCAAAATAACCTTAAAATGAGACATAAAACAGACAAAAAAGTTTCAAAGTTTCATTTATATTAATTTTCACTCTTCTCTAACGTCTCACTTTAAGACAAATAAGCATATTTTCAAAGAGACGAAACATACACTTTCTAACACGTTTACTAAATAACAAATACCAGAATGGATAGATACAAACATTCAGATAAAATAACAATCTAAAAAACAACAACAGAATAACACGATTGGTTCCCATGCCGTCTAGAATGCCGGGTATACTACAGAAGAGCATAGGAAACGTACAACTGATATAAGCCGTTAACATGACGATACTGTTCTTTGTAGCGCTGCTGAGGCTGATCCTGTCCCGTTTTAAATATTGCTTCTTTAGTGCAGAATTATTTTTAATGGTTTGAAAACGTTGTAGATCAGCGGCGGGGGAGATGTCAGCAAAATTGGGACAC